AATACACACCACTCTATTTTTAAACAGAAAAATATTATGACAAGAGGCGCCTAAAGAGAACAAAGGCATAACATATATATACACCTGCATTTATCATGTAACATCTCTCAAGCATCCTGCATTTCTTCATCCAGGAGTGTGCTCTTGATTGCCTTCTCATATAACTGCAATGCCCATATAAAATTTTCCCATGTTGAGAAGGAATACAAAACAAATAATACAATAACAAGGGAAAAAAACATTAAAAGGGTTCAGTTTCACCTTTAAAGCAGAGAAATGGTCCAGATCATTGTCAGTTTAGCAACCCTTCTAGTGACTCTTGCCAAAGAAACGTCAAACTGGATTTCGTGCAATGAATGTGCCTTGGCTTCCATGATTGTGAACTTCCACAAGAACTTATAAGGTCCTGACAAAGCGAGAAACAAAAGGTAATAGAAGCAAACAACAAGTATGCGTGAAATTACAGCAACCAGACCATTTACAAATCTACACAAGATGATAAATATGGCGTAAGAGGCAGGTGTAAGATGCGTACTGAATTGTCAAACAAATCTATCTTATGAAAAAGGATATGTACATGAAATTCCACCCCATTGGTGAAATTGCATACATGTTTCTCAACACAGAACCCGACTATCGGTTATGACAATATATCAATGTCTCATACTTCAGGTAAGATCATAAACAAAAGTACTGATTCAGGTTCCATGTTTCAAGAGTGTCTATGTTTTAATATCTGCTCCTGGAAGACAGTAAGGTATGTGTCATGAAACAGGGACTGAACTATTGATGATCTAATTCGCAGTGTAATCTAGAGAAGCACATGTAATAATGCAACAAAAATGCAGATAAAAATGTCCACAGGAAAGTAAAAAAATAGAACCGCATATCACACAAAGCATATGTAATTTAGCAATAAAAAATTGAATCTGTGGCTATTGGTGGTGAAATGAAAGATCAAATAAATTGAAACAACAAAAAACTATAAATTATTTCTGGTGGGAGAAAACTTACAAAACAATTTAGTTGAATTATTTCAAAGCCTTGCTTAACGTACTAGTTCAGTGCCATCACTCTATAAATAGCTCATTCCAAAACCTTCTCTGCTGCCTGAAAACAGAAAAGTAGTGAACGGTTAAAGATATGCAAATATAAAAAGTATACTAATGACTTATCTTTACTTTTCCACGATTGATAAACTTACTTTAGGAACAATTGTTTTCGCAGGGCTAGGCTTTCACACCTCATGAATAAAGCAACAGCACAGGGAAATGTGTTTTTGTTTTGTTTTTTTCGCCTTTTTTTGTATTTGTTTTCGTTTTTGTTTTCTATTTTTTTTGGCTTTTTTATTTTCTTTTTTATTTGTTCTTTTCTTTATTTTATAGGTTTTTGTATCCATTTCTTCGTCAAAAACAATTTCTTCGATACACGCCTTCCCTATCCTGATGGCAAATTCGAACTCAAGATTTAACAGTTCCTTTTCCTTTTTTCATTTGAAAGATTCAGGCTTCTTTGGCATTCCATCCAGTAGAACAATAGTTATTTTGATCTCTCGTATTGGCCTTCATTTGTTCATCCTGTTCAGAAGGAAAATCACAAGGCAGGAAAGATAAGTGTTAATGTAAGAATAGTAAACACAAGAATGATAAGTTTTTTATTGATACCACTTCAGAATTACATATGCACTTATGAAATGGTCTAACGTATGAGCTTATAATCACGTAAAATCATTTAGGGTCCCATCAAGAAACAAAAGGTAAAAAGAAGCACACAACAAGTATGCCTGAAATTACAACAACCTGAGCATCCACGAATCTACACAAAATGATAAATATAGCTTAAGAGGCAGGTGTAAGATGCATACTGAATTGTCAAACAAATCTATCTTATGAAAAAGGATATGTACATGAAATTCCACCCCATTGGTGAAATTGCATACATGTTTCTCAACACAGAAACCAACTATCAGTTATGACAATATATCAATGTGTCATACTTCATGTAAGATCATAAACAAAATCACTGATTCAGGTTCCATGTTTCTAGAGTGTCTATGTTTTAATATCTGCTCCTGGAAGACAGTAAGGTATGTGTCATGAAATAGGACCTGAACTATTGATGATCTAATTCGCAGTGTAATCTAGAGAAGTATATGTAATCATGCAACAAAAAATGCAGATAAAAATGTTCAAAGGGAAGTAAAAAAAATAGAACTGCATATCACACAAAGCATATGTAATTGAGCAACAAAAAACTGAATCTGTGGCTATTGGTGGTGAAATGAAAGATCAAATAAATAGAAACAACAAAAAACTATAAATTATTTGTGGTGGGAGAAAACTTACAAAACAATTTGGTTGAATAATTTCAAAGCCTTGCTTTACGTACTACTTCAGTGCCATCACTCGACAAATAGGTCATTCCAAAACCTTATCTACTGCCTGAAAACTGAAAAGTGGTGAACTGATAAAGATATGCAAATATGAATAATATACTAATGACTTATCTTTACTTTTCCACGATTGATAAACTTACTTTAGGAACAATTGTTTTTGAAGGGCTAGGGTTTCACACCCGCGGAAGGTGAGACTGCTGACCTGATGGTCTCGAAGCATTCTTCTTGGCAGACCCATAGGTGTCGGCCATTTCATTTCTGCGATTGCTTCGCAGGCGGATGGTCGATTGAGCTTTGCACATGCAGAGGGTAACGGCTGACGGATGCGGAAGGACCTAATGGCCTCTCGAGGATGTCAAAAGAGCCGTTGGAGTGGTAATATATCAAAAGATCCGTGGAAGATATCGGAAGATGCGTAATATATTTTGGAGATCCCTATAACAAACTACCAGCCAAATTATATTTGGGGATAGGTAATATTTTTTCCTTTCTTAAATAATAAATGCAACAGTCAACATTTCACACTTAGTGAGACACAACTTTGACCATTAATATAAATGATTTTTATTAGTAAAAAAAATTAAAAAAATTAGATTATGAAAATTACAATGAGACAAGCTTGCACCCTCCTATTGATTCTTCTTTGTCACAGCAAGTCTTCAATCGTCTTTTTTTCCTTCATCACCCTTTACTCGTTCTCACGCACACACTTGTTTCATCTCTTAATTGTCGCCAACTCGTAATTACAAAGAATTGAAATTGTGGTTCGTTGACTCTAGGTTGAACGCACGTAATCATTAAACAGGACCTGAACTATTGTGTCATTAAACAGGACCTGAACTATTGATGATCTAATTCGAAGTGTAATCTAGACAAGCATTTGTAATCATGCAACAAAAAATGCAGATAAAAATGTTCAAAGGAAAGTAAAAAAAATAGAACTGCATTCCACACAAAGCTGAAAACTGAAAAGTAGTGAACGGTTAGAGATATACTAATATGAAAAATATACTAAAGAGTTATCTTTACTTTTCCACGATTGATAAACTTACTTTAGGCACAATTGTTTTCGCATGGATAGGCTTTCACACCTCATGAACAAAGCAACACCACTGGGACATCAGTTTTTGTTTTTTTATTTCGCCTTTTTTTTGTATTTGTTTTCTTTTTTTTTTGGTTTTCTATTTTTTTTTTTTGCTTATTTGTTCTCTATTCTTTTTTTTTTGCTTTTCTGTTTTCTTTTTTTGTTCTTTTCTTTTTTTTAGGTTTTTGTATCCATTTTTTCGTCAAAAACAATTTCATCGGTACACGCCTTCCCTCTCCTAATGGCAATTTCGAACTCAAGATTTAACATTTCGTTTTCCTTTTCATTTAAAAGATTCAGGCTTCATTGGCGTTCCATCCAGTAGAACACTTCTTATTTTGATCTCTCGTATTGGCCTTCATTTGTTCATCCTGTTCAGAAGGAAAATCACAAGGCAGGAAAGATAAGTGCTAATGTTAGAATAGTAAACACAAGGATGCTAAGTTTTTTATTGATACCACTTCAGAATTACATATGCACTTATAAAATGGTCTAACGTATGAGCCTATAATCACTTAAAATCATTTAGGGTCCCATCAGTCAAGCTCTCTATCGAAATTTAGTATTGGACTAATTATCTAATTGCATTCATGCTCATGATTGTACAGCTGAATGGGCTGTTAGTGATTGTGACATGAAGATCAAATAATTAGAAAGGAAAAAAAAATATAACTTCTTGCTTGAGGGAAGATGACTTACCGAACAATTTAGTTGCATAATTTCTAAACTATGCTTGGAACGTACTTCTTCCAGTGCCATCACTCCCCATATAACTCCTACCGAAATCTTCTCTACTGCCTGGAAAGCAGTGAACGGTCAAAGATATGCAAAAAAGAAAAAGATATTATTAACCACTTTATAGTTTACCAAGCTTGACAAAACTTACTCTAGAAACTTGAACCTCATATTTCTAGCAAGACTGACCCATCAAGGGGTACCATCAGCAGGTAAGACTTGGCGAAACATTTGGTGTTGGAGACTTCGGTTATCTCACGAAACTATACTCAGATTAGGCAAATCTGAATCATCCAGCCAGTAGGCTACTCACATTTGGACCTTTTCGATTGGGCTTCTTATGAATTAGTTTATCCTGTTATCCTGTTCAGAAAAACAAAATCAATAGGCACAAAAGAAAAATGTTCATGTAGGACTAGTAATAGTAAACAGACGGAAGATAATTTCTTATCGATACCACTCAGGAATTATAAGATGGTATAACACTAGTTGATACCCACCACTCTATTTTTAAACAGAAATATTATGACAAGAGGCGCCTAAAGAGAACAAAGGCATAACATATATATACACCTGCATTTATCATGTAACATCTCTCAAGCATCCTGCGTTTCATCATCCCAGAGTGTGCTCTTGATTGCCTTCTCACGATGGGCAAATCTCGGGTTACTAAAATTCCAAATCTTACAACTGCAATGCCCATATAAAATTTTCACATGTTGAGAAGGAATGGAAAACGAATAATACAATAACAACAGAAAAAACATTAACAGGGTTCAGTTTCACCTTTAAGGCAGAAAAATGGTCCAGATCATTGTCAGTTTTGCAACCCTTTTAGTGACTCTTGCCAAAAAAACGTCAAACTGGAATTCTAGCAATGAATGTGCCTTGGTTTCCATGATTGTGGACTTTCGCAAGAACTTTTAAGGTCCTGCAGAATCAAGAAACAAAAGGTAAAAGAAGCACACAACAAGTATGCCGCCTGAAATTACAGCAATCTGAGCATCCACGAATTTACACAAAATGATAAATATAGCTTAAGAGGCAGGTGTAAGATGCGTACTGAATTGTCAAACAAATCTATCTTATGAAAAAGGATACGTACATGAAATTCCACCCCATTGGTGAAATTGCATACATGTTTCTCAACACAGAAACCAACTATCAGTTATGACAATTTATCAATGTCTCATACTTCATGTAAGATCATAAACAAAAGCACTGATTCAGGTTCCATGTTTCTAGAGTGTCTATGTTTTAATATCTGCTCCTGGAAGACAGTAAGGTATGTGTCATGAAACAGGGCCTGAACTATTTATGATCTAATTCGCAGTGTAATCTAGAGAAGCATATGTAGTCATGCAACAAAAAATGCAGATAAAAATATTCAAAGAGAAGTAAAAAAAATAGAACTGCATATCACACAAAGCTTATGTAATTGAGCAACAAAAAACTGAATCTGTGGCTATTGGTGGTGAAATGAAAGATCAAATAAGTAGAAACAACAAAAAACTATAAATTGTTTCTGGTGGGAGAAAACTTACAAAACAAATTTAGTTGAATAATTTCAAAGCCTTGCTCACCGTACTACTTCAGTGCCATCATTCTACAAATAGCTCATTCCAGAACCTTCTCTACTGCCTGAAAACTGAAAAGTAGTGAACGGTTAAAGATATACAAATATGAAAAATATACTAATGACTTATCTTTATTTTTCCACGATTGATAAACTTACTTTAGGAACAATTGTTTTCGCAGGGCTAGGCTTTTACACCTCATGAACAAAGCAACAGCACTGGGACATGTGTTTTTGTTTTGTTTTTTTTTTCGACTTTTATTTTGTATTTTGTTTTCTTTTTTTTGTTTTCTATTTTTTTTTTGTTTTCTATTTTTTTTTTTTTGCTTTTTTGTTTTCTATTTTTTTTGTTCTTTTCTTTTTTTAGGTTTTTGTATCCATTTTTTCGTGAAAAACAATGTCATCGGTACACGCCTTCCCTTCCGTAATGGCAATTTCGAACTCAAGATTAGCATTTCGTTTTCCTTTTCATGAAAAAAATTCAGGCTTCATTGGCGTTCCATCCAGTAGAACACTTCTTATTTTGATCTCTCGTATTGGCCTTCATTTGTTTATACTGTTCAGAAGGAAAATCACAAGGCAGGAAAGATAAGTGCTAATGCAAGAATAGTAAACACAAGAATGATAAGTTTTTTATTGATACCACTTCAGAATAACATATGCACTTATAAAATGGTCTAACGTATGAGCCTATAATCACGTAAAATCATTTAGGGTCCCATCAGTCAAGCTCTCTATCAAAATTTAGTACTTGACTAATTATCTAATTCACTAATTGCATTCATGCTCATGTTTGTACTGCTGAATAGGCTGTTAGTGATTGTGAAATGAAGATAAAATAATTAGAAAAGAAAAAATATAACTTCTTGCTTGAGAGGCAGGTGTAAGATGCGTACTGAATTGTCAAACAAATCTATCTTATGAAAAAGGATACGTACATGAAATTCCACCCCATTGGTGAAATTGCATACATGTTTCTCAACACAGAAACCAACTATCAGTTATGACAATTTATCAATGTCTCATACCTTATGTAAGATCATAAACAAAAGCACAGATTCAGGTTCCATGTTTCTAGAGTGTCTATGTTTTAATATCTGCTCCTGGAAGACAGTAAGGTATGTGTCATGAAACAGGGCCTGAACTATTTATGATCTAATTCGCAGTGTAATCTAGAGAAGCATATGTAATCATGCAACGAAAAATGCAGATAAAAATGTTCAAAGGGAAGTAAAAAAAAATAGAACTGCATATCACACAAAGCATATGTAACTGAGCAACAAAAAACTGAATCTGTGGCTATTGGTGGTGAAATGAAAGATCAAATAAGTAGAAACAACAAAAAACTACAAATTATTTCTGGTGGGAGAAAACTTACAAAACAATTTAGTTGAATAATTTCAAAGCCTTGCTTAACGTACTACTTCAGTGTCATCACTCTACAAATAGCTCATTCCAGACCATTCTGTACTGCCTGAAAACTGAAAAGTAGTGAACGGTTAGAGATATACTAATATGAAAAATATACTAAAGAGTTATCTTTACTTTTCCACGATTGATAAACTTACTTTAGGCACAATTGTTTTCGCATGGATAGGCTTTCACACCTCATGAACAAAGCAACACCACTGGGACATCAGTTTTTGTTTTTTTATTTCGCCTTTTTTTTGTATTTGTTTTCTTTTTTTTTTGGTTTTCTATTTTTTTTTTTTGCTTATTTGTTCTCTATTCTTTTTTTTTTGCTTTTCTGTTTTCTTTTTTTGTTCTTTTCTTTTTTTTAGGTTTTTGTATCCATTTTTTCGTCAAAAACAATTTCATCGGTACACGCCTTCCCTCTCCTAATGGCAATTTCGAACTCAAGATTTAACATTTCGTTTTCCTTTTCATTTAAAAGATTCAGGCTTCATTGGCGTTCCATCCAGTAGAACACTTCTTATTTTGATCTCTCGTATTGGCCTTCATTTGTTCATCCTGTTCAGAAGGAAAATCACAAGGCAGGAAAGATAAGTGCTAATGTTAGAATAGTAAACACAAGGATGCTAAGTTTTTTATTGATACCACTTCAGAATTACATATGCACTTATAAAATGGTCTAACGTATGAGCCTATAATCACTTAAAATCATTTAGGGTCCCATCAGTCAAGCTCTCTATCGAAATTTAGTATTGGACTAATTATCTAATTGCATTCATGCTCATGATTGTACAGCTGAATGGGCTGTTAGTGATTGTGACATGAAGATCAAATAATTAGAAAGGAAAAAAAAATATAACTTCTTGCTTGAGGGAAGATGACTTACCGAACAATTTAGTTGCATAATTTCTAAACTATGCTTGGAACGTACTTCTTCCAGTGCCATCACTCCCCATATAACTCCTACCGAAATCTTCTCTACTGCCTGAAAAGCAGTAAACGGTCAAAGATATGCAAATAAGAAAAATATATTATTAACCACTTTAAAGTTTTCCAGGCTTGACAAACTTACTCTAGGAACTTGAACCTCAGATTTCTAGCAAGACTGTGTCCCATCAAGGGGTACCATCAGCAGGTTCAAGCTATCACTGGCACCAATATGTGCTTACCAAGAATTCTGCTGCTAGGTAAGACTTGGCGAAACATTTGGTGATGAGACTTCGGTTTCTCACGAAACTATACTCAGATTAGGCAAATCCGAATCATCCAGCCAGTAGACTACACACATTTGGACCTTTTCGATTGGGCTACTTTTGAATTAGTTTAACCTGTTTGGAAAAACAAAATCAATAGGCACAAAAGAAAAATGTTCATGTAGGACTAGTAATAGTAAACAAACGGAAGATAATTTTTTATTGATACAACTCAGGAATTATAACATGGTATACCACTTGTTAATACCCACCATTCTATTTTTAAACAGAAATATTATGACTAGAGGCGCCTAAAAAGAACAAAGGCATAACATATATATACACCTGCATTTATCATGTAACAACTCTCAAGCATCTTGCGTTTCTTCATCCCAGAGTGTGCTCTTGATTGCCTTCTCACGATGGGCAAATCTCGGGTTACTAAAAGTCCAAATCTTACAACTGCAATGCCCATATAAAATTTTCCCATGTTGAGAAGGAATAGAAAATGAATAATACAATAACAACGGAAAAAACATTAACAGGGTTCAGTTTGACCTTTAAAGCAGAGAAATGGTCCAGATCATTGTCAGTTTTGCAACCCTTTAGTGACTCTTGCCAAAAAAACGTCAAACTGGAATTCTTGCAATGAATGTGCACAATTGTTTTCGCATGGATAGGCTTTCACACGTCATGAACAAAGCAACAGCACTGGGACATAAGTTTTTGTTTTTTTTTGTTTCACCTTTTTTTTGTATTTGTTTTCTTTTTTTTTTGGTTTTCTGTTTTTTTTTTTTGCTTTTTTGTTCTCTATTCTTTTTTTTTGCTTTTCTGTTTTCTTTTTTTTGTTCTTTTCTTTTTTTTTAGGTTTTTGTATCCATTTTTTCGTCAAAAACAATTTCATCGGTACACCCTTCCCTCTCCTAATGCAATTTCGAACTCAAAATTTAACATTTCCTTTTCCTTTTCATTTAAAAGATTCAGGCTTCATTGGCATTCCATCCAGTAGAACACTTCTTATTTTGATCTCTCGTATTGGCCTTCATTTGTTCATCCTGTTCAGAAGGAAAATCACAAGGCAGGAAAGATAAGTGCTAATGTTAGAATAGTAAACACAAGGATGCTAAGTATTTTATTGATACCACTTCAGAATTACATATGCACTTATGAAATGATCTAACGTATGAGCCTATAATCACTTAAAATCATTTAGGGTTCCATCAGTCAAGCTCTCTATCGAAATTTAGTATTGGACTAATTATCTAATTGCATTCATGCTCATGATTGTACAGCTGAATGGGCTGTTATAGATTGTGACATGAAGATCAAATAATTAGAAAGGAAAAAAAAATATAACTTCTTGCTTGAGGGAAGATGACTTACCGAACAATTTAGTTGCATAATTTCTAAACTATGCTTGGAATGTACTTCTTCCAGTGCCATCACTCCCCATATAACTCCTACCGAAATCTTCTCTACTGCCTGAAAAGCAGTAAACGGTCAAAGATATGCAAATAAGAAAAATATATTATTAACCACTTTATAGTTTTCCAGGCTTGACAAACTTACTCTAGGAACTTGAACCTCAGATTTCTAGCAAGACTGTGTCCCATCAAGGGGTACCATCAGCAGGTTCAAGCTATCACTGGCACCAATATGTGCTTACCAAGAATTCTGCTGCTAGGTAAGACTTGGCGAAACATTTGGTGATGAGACTTCGGTTTCTCACGAAACTATACTCAGATTAGGCAAATCCGAATCATCCAGCCAGTAGACTACACACATTTGGACCTTTTCGATTGGGCTACTTTTGAATTAGTTTAACCTGTTTGGAAAAACAAAATCAATAGGCACAAAAGAAAAATGTTCATGTAGGACTAGTAATAGTAAACAAACGGAAGATAATTTTTTATTGATACAACTCAGGAATTATAACATGGTATACCACTTGTTAATACCCACCATTCTATTTTTAAACAGAAATATTATGACTAGAGGCGCCTAAAAAGAACAAAGGCATAACATATATATACACCTGCATTTATCATGTAACAACTCTCAAGCATCTTGCGTTTCTTCATCCCAGAGTGTGCTCTTGATTGCCTTCTCACGATGGGCAAATCTCGGGTTACTAAAAGTCCAAATCTTACAACTGCAATGCCCATATAAAATTTTCCCATGTTGAGAAGGAATAGAAAATGAATAATACAATAACAACGGAAAAAACATTAACAGGGTTCAGTTTGACCTTTAAAGCAGAGAAATGGTCCAGATCATTGTCAGTTTTGCAACCCTTTAGTGACTCTTGCCAAAAAAACGTCAAACTGGAATTCTTGCAATGAATGTGCACAATTGTTTTCGCATGGATAGGCTTTCACACGTCATGAACAAAGCAACAGCACTGGGACATAAGTTTTTGTTTTTTTTTATTTCACCTTTTTTTTGTATTTGTTTTCTTTTTTTTTTGGTTTTCTGTTTTTTTTTTTTTTGCTTTTTTGTTCTCTATTCTTTTTTTTTTGCTTTTCTGTTTTCTTTTTTTTGTTCTTTTCTTTTTTTTTAGGTTTTTGTATCCATTTTTTCGTCAAAAACAATTTCATCGGTACACCCTTCCCTCTCCTAATGCAATTTCGAACTCAAGATTTAACATTTCCTTTTCCTTTTCATTTAAAAGATTCAGGCTTCATTGGCATTCCATCCAGTAGAACACTTCTTATTTTGATCTCTCGTATTGGCCTTCATTTGTTCATCCTGTTCAGAAGGAAAATCACAAGGCAGGAAAGATAAGTGCTAATGTTAGAATAGTAAACACAAGGATGCTAAGTATTTTATTGATACCACTTCAGAATTACATATGCACTTATGAAATGATCTAACGTATGAGCCTATAATCACTTAAAATCATTTAGGGTTCCATCAGTCAAGCTCTCTATCGAAATTTAGTATTGGACTAATTATCTAATTGCATTCATGCTCATGATTGTACAGCTGAATGGGCTGTTATAGATTGTGACATGAAGATCAAATAATTAGAAAGGAAAAAAAAATATAACTTCTTGCTTGAGGGAAGATGACTTACCGAACAATTTAGTTGCATAATTTCTAAACTATGCTCGGAACGTACTTCTTCCAGTGCCATCACTCCCCATATAACTCCTATCGAAATCTTCTCTACTGCCTGAAAAGCAGTAAACGGTCAAAGATATGCAAATAAGAAAAATATATTATTAACCACTTTATAGTTTTCCAGGCTTGACAAACTTACTCTAGGAACTTGAACCTCAGATTTCTAGCAAGACTGTGTCCCATCAAGGGGTACCATCAGCAGGTTCAAGCTATCACTGGCACCAATATGTGCTTACCAAGAATTCTGCTGCTAGGTAAGACTTGGCGAAACATTTGGTGATGAGACTTCGGTTTGTCACGAAACTATACTCAGATTAGGCAAATCCGAATCATCCAGCCAGTAGACTACACACATTTGGACCTTTTCGATTGGGCTACTTTTGAATTAGTTTATCCTGTTTAGAAAAACAAAATCAATAGGCACAAAAGAAAAATGTTCATGTAGGACTAGTAATAGTAAACAAACGGAAGATAATTTTTTATTGATACAACTCAGGATTTATAACATGGTATAACACTTGTTAATACCCACCATTCTATTTTTAAACAGAAATATTATGACTAGAGGCGCCTAAAAAGAACAAAGGCATAACATATATATACACCTGCATTTATCATGTAACAACTCTCAAGCATCTTGCGTTTCTTCATCCCAGAGTGTGCTCTTGATTGCCTTCTCACGATGGGCAAATCTCGGGTTACTAAAAGTCCAAATCTTACAACTGCAATGCCCATATAAAATTTTTCCATGTTGAGAAGGAATAGAAAATGAATAATACAATAACAACGGAAAAAACATTAACAGGGTTCAGTTTGACCTTTAAAGCAGAGAAATGGTCCAGATCATTGTCAGTTTTGCAACCCTTTAGTGACTCTTGCCAAAAAAACGTCAAACTGGAATTCTTGCAATGAATGTGCACAATTGTTTTCGCATGGATAGGCTTTCACACGTCATGAACCAAGCAACAGCACTGGGACATAAGTTTTTGTTTTTTTTTATTTCACCTTTTTTTTGTATTTGTTTTCTTTTTTTTGGGTTTTCTATTTTTTTTTTCCTTTTTTGTTCTCTATTCTTTTTTTTTGCTTTTCTGTTTTCTTTTTTTTGTTCTTTTCTTTTTTTTTAGGTTTTTGTATCCATTTTTTAGTCAAAAACAATTTCATCGGTACACGCCTTCCCTCTCCTAATGCAATTTCGAACTCAAGATTTAACATTTCATTTTCCTTTTCATTTAAAAGATTCAGGCTTCATCGGCATTCCATTCAGTAGAACACTTCTGATTTTGATCTCTCGTATTGGCCTTCATTTGTTCATCCTGTTCAGAAGGAAAATCACAAGGCAGGAAAGATAAGTGCTAATTTTAGAATAGTAAACACAAGGATGATAAGTATTTTATTGATACCACTTCAGAATTACATATGCACTTATGAAATGATCTAACGTATGAGCCTATAATCACTTAAAATCATTTAGGGTCCCATCAGTCAAGCTCTATATCGAAATTTAGTATTGGACTAATTATCTAATTGCATTCATGCTCATGATTGTACAGCTGAATGGGCTGTTAGTGATTGTGACATGAAGATCAAATAATTAGAAAGGAGAAAATATATAACTTCTTGCTTGATGGAGATGACTTACCGAACAATTTAGTTGCATAATTTCTAAACTATGCTTGGAACGTACTTCTTCTAGTGCCATCACTCCCCATATAACTCCTGCCGAAATCTTCTCTACTCCCTGAAAAGCAGTGAACGGTCAAAGATATGCAAAAAAGAAAAAGATATTATTAACCACTTTACAGTTTTCCAGGCTTGCCAAACTTACTCTAGGAACTTGAACCTCAGATTTCTAGCAAGACTGTGTCCCATCAAGGGGTACCATCAGCAGGTTCAAGCTATCACTGGCACCAATATATGCTTACCAAGAATTCTGCTGCTAGGTAAGACTTGGCGAAACATTTGGTGATGAGACTTCGGTTTCTCACGAAACTATACTCAGATTAGGCAAATCCAATCATCCAGCCAGTAGACGACACACATTTGGACCTTTTCGATTGGGCTACTTTTGAATTAGTTTATCCTGTTTAGAAAAACAAAATCAATAGGCACAAAAGAAAAATGTTTATGTAGGACTAGTAATAGTAAACAAACGGAAGATAATTTTTTATTGATACAACTCAGGAATTTAAAACATGGTATAACACTTGTTAATACCCACCATTCTATTTTTAAACAGAAATATTATGACTAGAGGCGCCTAAAAAGAACAAAGGCATAACATATATATACACCTGCATTTATCATGTAACAACTCTCAAGCATCTTGCGTTTCTTCATCCCAGAGTGTGCTCTTGATTGCCTTCTCACGATGGGCAAATCTCGGGTTACTAAAAGTCCAAATCTTACAACTGCAATGCCCATATAAAATTTTCCCATGTTGAGAAGGAATAGAACATGAATAATACAATAACAACGGAAAAAACATTAACAGGGTTCAGTTTGACCTTTAAAGCAGAGAAATGGTCCAGATCATTGTCAGTTTTGCAACCCTTTAGTGACTCTTGCCAAAAAACGTCAAACTGGAATTCTTGCAATGAATGTGCACAATTGTTTTCGCATGGATAGGCTTTCACACGTCATGAACCAAGCAACAGCACTGGGACATAAGTTTTTGTTTTTTTTTATTTCACCTTTTTTTTGTATTTGTTTTCTTTTTTTGGGTTTCCTATTTTTTTTTTCCTTTTTTGTTCTTTATTCTTTTTTTTTGCTTTTCTGTTTTCTTTTTTTTGTTCTTTTCTTTTTTTTTAGGTTTTTGTATCCATTTTTTCGTCAAAAACAATTTCATCGGTACACGCCTTCCCTCTCCTAATGCAATTTCGAACTCAAGATTTAACATTTCCTTTTCCTTTTCATTTAAAAGATTCAGGCTTCATTGGCATTCCATCCAGTAGAACACTTCTTATTTTGATCTCTCGTATTGGCCTTCATTTGTTCATCCTGTTCAGAAGGAAAATCACAAGGCAGGAAAGATAAGTGCTAATTTTAGAATAGTAAACACAAGGATGATAAGTATTTTATTGATACCACTTCAGAATTACATATGCACTTATGAAATGATCTAACGTATGAGCCTATAATCACTTAAAATCATTTAGGGTCCCATCAGTCAAGCTCTATATCGAAATTTAGTATTGGACTAATTATCTAATTGCATTGATGCTCATGACTGTACAGCTGAATATGCTGTTAGTGATTGTGACATGAAGATCAAATAATTAGAAAGGAGAAAATATATAACTTCTTGCTTGATGGAGATGACTTACCGAACAATTTAGTTGCATAATTTCTAAACTATGCTTGGAACGTACTTCTTCTAGTGCCATCACTACCCATATAACTCCTGCCGAAATCTTCTCTACTCCCTGAAAAGCAGTGAACGGTCAAAGATATGCAAAAAAGAAAAAGATATTATTAACCACTTTACAGTTTTCCAGGCTTGCCATACTTACTCTAGGAACTTGAACCTCAGATTTCTAGCAAGACTGTGTCCCATCAAGGGGTACCCATCAGCAGGTTCAAGCTATCACTGGCACCAATATGTGCTTACCAAGAATTCTGCTGCTAGGTAAGACTTGGCGAAACATTTGGTGATGAGACTTCGGTTTCTCACGAAACTATACTCAGATTAGGCAAATCCGAATCATCCAGCCAGTAGACTACACACATTTGGACCTTTTCGATTGGGCTACTTTTGAATTAGTTTATCCTGTTTAGAAAAACAAAATCAATAGGCACAACAGAAAAATGTTCATGTAGGACTAGTAATAGTAAACAAACGGAAGATAATTTTTTATTGATACAACTCAGGAATTATAACATGGTATAACACTTGTTAATACCCACCATTCTATTTTTAAACAGAAATATTATGACTAGAGGCGCCTAAAAAGAACAAAGGCATAACATATATATACACCTGCATTTATCATGTAACAACTCTCAAGCATCTTGCGTTTCTTCATCCCAGAGTGTGCTCTTGATTGCCTTCTCACGATGGGCAAATCTCGGGTTACTAAAAGTCCAAATCTTACAACTGCAATGCCCATATAAAATTTTCCCATGTTGAGAAGGAATAGAAAATGAATAATACAATAACAACGGAAAAAACATTAACAGGGTTCAGTTTGACCTTTAAAGCAGAGAAATGGTCCAGATCATTGTCAGTTTTGCAACCCTTTAGTGACTCTTGCCAAAAAAACGTCAAACTGGAATTCTTGCAATGAATGTGCACAATTGTTTTCGCATGGATAGGCTTTCACACGTCATGAACAAAGCAACAGCACTGGGACATAAGTTTTTGTTTTTTTTTATTTCACCTTTTTTTTGTATTTGTTTTCTTTTTTTTGCTTTTCTATTTTTTTTTTTTTTTTGCTTTTTTGTTTTCTATTCTTTTTTTTTTGCTTTTCTGTTTTCTTTTTTTGTTCTTTTCTTTTTTCTTAGGTTTTTGTATCCATTTTTTCGTCAAAAACAATTTCATCGGTACACGCCTTCCCTCTCCTAATGCAATTTCGAACTCAAGATTTAACATTTCCTTTTCCTTTTCATTTAAAAGATTCAGGCTTCATTGGCATTCCATCCAGTAGAACACTTCTTATTTTGATCTCTCGTATTGGCCTTCATTTGTTCATCCTGTTCAGAAGGAAAATCACAAGGCAGGAAAGATAAGTGCTAATTTTAGAATAGTAAACACAAGGATGATAAGTATTTTATTGATACCACTTCAGAATTACAAGAGGCGCCTAAAGAGAACAAAGGCATAACATATATATACACCTGCATTTATCATGTAACATCTCTCAAGCATCCTGCATTTCTTCATCCAAGAGTGTGCTCTTGATTGCCTTCTCATGATGGGCAAATCTCGGGTTACTAAAAGTCCAAATCTTACAACTGCAATGCCCATATAAAATTTTCCCATGTTGAGAAGGAATAGAAAATGAATAATACAATAACAACGGAAAAAACATTAACAGGGTTCAGTTTGACCTTTAAAGCAGAGAAATGGTCCAGATCATTGTCAGTTTTGCAACCCTTTAGTGACTCTTGCCAAAAAAACGTCAAACTGGAATTCTTGCAATGAATGTGCACAATTGTTTTCGCATGGATAGGCTTTCACACCTCATGAACAAAGCAACAGCACTGGGACATAAATTTTTGATTTTTTTTATTTCACCTTTTATTTGTATTTGTTTTCTTTTTTTTTGGTTTTCTATTTTTTTTTTTTGCTTTTTTGTTCTCTATTCTTTTTTCTTTGCTTTTCTGTTTTCTTTTTTTTGTTCTTTTCTTTTTTTTTAGGTTTTTGTATCCATTTTTTCGTCAAAAACAATTTCATCGGTACACGCCTTCCCTCTCCTAATGCAATTTCGAACTCAAGATTTAACATTTCCTTTTCCTTTTCATTTAAAAGATTCAGGCTTCATTGGCATTCCATCCAGTAGAACACTTCTTATTTTGATCTCTCGTATTGGCCTTCATTTGTTCATCCTGTTCAGAAGGAAAATCACAAGGCAGGAAAGATAAGTGCTAATTTTAGAATAGTAAACACAAGGATGATAAGTATTTTATTGATACCACTTCAGAATTACATATGCACTTATGAAATGATCTAACGTATGAGCCTATAATCATTTAAAATCATTTAGGGTCCCATCAGTCAAGCTCTCTATCGAAATTTAGTATTGGACTAATTATTTAATTGCATTCATGCTCATGATTGTACAGCTGAATGGGCTGTTAGTGATTGTGACATGAAGATCAAATAATTAGAAAGGAAAAAATATATAACTTCTTGCTTGATGGAGATGACTTACCGAACAATTTAGTTGCATAATTTCTAAACTATGCTTGGAACGTACTTCTTCTAGTGCCATCACTCCCCATATAACTCCTGCCGAAATCTTCTCTACTCCCTGAAAAGCAGTGAACGGTCAAACATATGCAAAAAAGAAAAAGATATTATTAACCACTTTACAGTTTTCCAGGCTTGCCAAACTTACTCTAGGAACTTGAACCTCAGATTTCTAGCAAGACTGTGTCCCATCATGGGGTATCATCATCAGGTTCAAGCAATCACTCGCACCAATATGTGCATACCAAGAATTCTGCTGCTAGGTAAGACTTGGCAAAATATTTGGTGTTGGAGACTTCGGTTATCTCACGAAACTATACTCAGATTAGGCAAATCCGAATCATCCAGCCAGTAGACTACTCACAATTGGACCTTTTAGATTTGGCTTCTTTTGAATTAGTTTATCCTGTTCAGAAAAACAAAATTAATAGGCACAAAAGAAAATTATTCATGTAGGACTAGTAATAGTAAACAAACGGAAGATAATTTCTTATTGATACCACTTCAGGAATTATAACATGGTATAACACTTGTTAATACACACCACTCTATTTTTAAACAGAAAAATATTATGACAAGAGGCGCCTAAAGAGAACAAAGGCATAACATATATATACACCTGCATTTATCATGTAACATCTCTCAAGCATCCTGCATTTCTTCATCCAAGAGTGTGCTCTTGATTGCCTTCTCATATAACTGCAATGCCCATATAAAATTTTCCCATGTTGAGAAGGAATACAAAACAAATAATACAATAACAAGGGAAAAAAACATTAAAAGGGTTCAGTTTCACCTTTAAAGCAGAGAAATGGTCCAGATCATTGTCAGTTTAGCAACCCTTCTAGTGACTCTTGCCAAAGAAACGTCAAACTGGATTTCGTGCAATGAATGTGCCTTGGCTTCCATGATTGTGAACTTCCACAAGAACTTATAAGGTCCTGACAAAGCGAGAAACAAAAGGTAATAGAAGCAAACAACAAGTATGCGTGAAATTACAGCAACCAGACCATTTACAAATCTACACAAGATGATAAATATGGCGTAAGAGGCAGGTGTAAGATGCGTACTGAATTGTCAAACAAATCTATCTTATGAAAAAGGATATGTACATGAAATTCCACCCCATTGGTGAAATTGCATACATGTTTCTCAACACAGAACCCGACTATCGGTTATGACAATATATCAATGTCTCATACTTCAGGTAAGATCATAAACAAAAGTACTGATTCAGGTTCCATGTTTCAAGAGTGTCTAAGTTTTAATATCTGCTCCTGGAAGACAGTAAGGTATGTGTCATGAAACAGGGACTGAACTATTGATGATCTAATTCGCAGTGTAATCTAGAGAAGCACATGTAATAATGCAACAAAAATGCAGATAAAAATGTCCACAGGAAAGTAAAAAAATAGAACCGCATATCACACAAAGCATATGTAATTTAGCAATAAAAAATTGAATCTGTGGCTATTGGTGGTGAAATGAAAGATCAAATAAATTGAAACAACAAAAAACTATAAATTATTTCTGGTGGGAGAAAACTTACAAAACAATTTAGTTGAATTATTTCAAAGCCTTGCTTAACGTACTAGTTCAGTGCCATCACTCTATAAATAGCTCATTCCAAAACCTTCTCTGCTGCCTGAAAACAGAAAAGTAGTGAACGGTTAAAGATATGCAAATATAAAAAGTATACTAATGACTTATCTTTACTTTTCCACGATTGATAAACTTACTTTAGGAACAATTGTTTTCGCAGGGCTAGGCTTTCACACCTCATGAATAAAGCAACAGCACAGGGAAATGTGTTTTTGTTTTGTTTTTTTCGCCTTTTTTTGTATTTGTTTTCTTTTTTGTTTTCTATTTTTTTTGGCTTTTTTATTTTCTTTTTTATTTGTTCTTTTCTTTATTTTATAGGTTTTTGTATCCATTTCTTCGTCAAAAACAATTTCTTCGATACACGCCTTCCCTATCCTGATGGCAAATTCGAACTCAAGATTTAACAGTTCCTTTTCCTTTTTTCATTTAAAAGATTCAGGCTTCTTTGGCATTCCATCCAGTAGAACAATAGTTATTTTGATCTCTCGTATTGGCCTTCATTTGTTCATCCTGTTCAGAAGGAAAATCACAAGGCAGGAAAGATAAGTGTTAATGTAAGAATAGTAAACACAAGAATGATAAGTTTTTTATTGATACCACTTCAGAATTACATATGCACTTATGAAATGGTCTAACGTATGAGCTTATAATCACGTAAAATCATTTAGGGTCCCATCAAGAAACAAAAGGTAAAAAGAAGCACACAACAAGTATGCCTGAAATTACAACAACCTGAGCATCCACGAATCTACACAAAATGATAAATATAGCTTAAGAGGCAGGTGTAAGATGCATACTGAATTGTCAAACAAATCTATCTTATGAAAAAGGATATGTACATGAAATTCCACCCCATTGGTGAAATTGCATACATGTTTCTCAACACAGAAACCAACTATCAGTTATGACAATATATCAATGTGTCATACTTCATGTAAGATCATAAACAAAATCACTGATTCAGGTTCCATGTTTCTAGAGTGTCTATGTTTTAATATCTGCTCCTGGAAGACAGTAAGGTATGTGTCATGAAATAGGACCTGAACTATTGATGATCTAATTCGCAGTGTAATCTAGAGAAGTATATGTAATCATGCAACAAAAAATGCAGATAAAAATGTTCAAAGGGAAGTAAAAAAAATAGAACTGCATATCACACAAAGCATATGTAATTGAGCAACAAAAAACTGAATCTGTGGCTATTGGTGGTGAAATGAAAGATCAAATAAATAGAAACAACAAAAAACTATAAATTATTTGTGGTGGGAGAAAACTTACAAAACAATTTGGTTGAATAATTTCAAAGCCTTGCTTTACGTACTACTTCAGTGCCATCACTCGACAAATAGGTCATTCCAAAACCTTATCTACTGCCTGAAAACTGAAAAGTGGTGAACTGATAAAGATATGCAAATATGAATAATATACTAATGACTTATCTTTACTTTTCCACGATTGATAAACTTACTTTAGGAACAATTGTTTTTGAAGGGCTAGGGTTTCACACCCGCGGAAGGTGAGACTGCTGACCTGATGGTCTCGAAGCATTCTTCTTGGCAGACCCATAGGTGTCGGCCATTTCATTTCTGCGATTGCTTCGCAGGCGGATGGTCGATTGAGCTTTGCACATGCAGAGGGTGACGGCTGACGGATGCGGAAGGACCTAATGGCCTCTCGAGGATGTCAAAAGAGCCGTTGGAGTGGTAATATATCAAAAGATCCGTGGAAGATATCGGAAGATGCGTAATATATTTTGGAGATCCGTATAACAAACTACCGGGCAAATTATATTTGAGGATGTGTAATATTTTCTCCCTTCTTAAATAATAAATGTAACGGTCAACATTTCACACTTGGCGAGACACAACTTTGACCATTAATATAAATGATTTTTATTAGTAAAAAAATTAAAAAAATTAGATTATGAAAATTACAATGAGACAAGTTTGCACCCTCCTATTGATTCTTCTTTGTCACAGCAAGTCTTCAATCGTCTTTTTTTCCTTCATCACCCTTTGCTCGTTCTCATGCACACACTGTTTCATCTCTTAATTGTCGCCCACTCGTAATTACAAAGAATTGAAATTATGGTTCGTTGTCTCTAGGTTGAACGCACGTGGTGTGTGACAACAAACTAAATTTATTTTATGTTTACAAAAGACCAAAACCAAATATATTTCGTTCTCTTTGCATTTAAATTTTCCATAACACGAATTACATAACAAAATAAACCCTGCTATTGAAACTAAAAAAATTGCCCAAAATTGATGTTTTGGTAAAAAAAAGACTTTTTGGGAACATTTTCATGGCCTTAATATTTAAAACAAAACATATTCACTATTTACGTAAAGTAATTGACCAATCAGATTCCTTGTTTTCATTGTCTAAATTGAAATCAATGTTTTACTCCTTATACTTCGTATTAGACAAGTTACATTTTGCCTTTGCCCCGCAGTTACATTTTTTATCAGCTTAAGTTACATTTTTTTACACGCGAGTTACATCATCCTACTCCTGGATGAAAAGAAAGTTACTTTTCACAATGTACTGTTCACCCGTGTTTTGGGCTTGGGAGCATCATGCACACTGTGGGCTGCTCCCACGGTATACCAATTGATATTATAGAGTGTTTTGGTGCATTCAACATATGGCTATATATGATTGGACACATTCCCACACAAGCAACTTCAATTAAAAAAATTAAAAGGTTGCACAGTTAACCTCACACAATAGAAAAATTCTGTATGCGCCGCCTTTCACTTGTCCAGTTTTTGGCTTTTCCCTGTAGAAGTGCCCGTCTCCTTCGAGTCCTTCATTTTCTTTTTCACTTCTAACACCAAACATGACAGATTAGAAATTAGTTTGAGAAATCACCTTCCTGAATTGCTTGTAGAAACCCTTTCTTTATGAATAGTTTCAGAATTGTTCTGTGTCGAAATGAAGCTCACAACCAGAGCTAGGTTGAAGGATTTGATGTTAAATCCAATCATATTTTTCATCAACAAATCTCCCGCCACGTAAGATTAACCCCTTTCTTCTGAAGTTCTGTGAAACAAAAAGAAACCCCCTAACTGCTTATGTTTTTTGAAAATTATTTTAAAGTAAAAATCTAATTATGACTTAAACAGAAACATGTTTGAAAACTGTGAATTGCTTATGAGAATATTAGATGCCTGCTATTTCAAAAGTTGACAATATTTCCTCCAAGAATATTTCCTATCAAGGAACTCAAATGTTAATAAAATATAAAATATGAAGTATGAGTGATGATTTTTTTATTTATATGAACATGCATGTCGTATGAATAGCTGAGTTCAAAGCTTGTTTATGCAACGCCCTCAAGTTGAACAATGAGCTCAGTTTTTGATTTGATGCATCATACAATTTTCTTAATGAAAGTTTATAACATTTACTTCTTAGCTAAAGGGTCAAATAAGTCATTGTACCCTTTCGGATTGCTCAATTTGCCCCCTCAACCCAAAAAAGCTCCAATTGGCACCCTACTCTCGATGAAAAAATTCAAATTTCACTTTTTGCAGGTTTCAATCCGGTCACCGTCACGTCACCCGGTAAGGTGCCAACTTTACATGTGACGTGGCAACTTAGGGGGTCAAATAAGCCCCTGAGCCTGATCGAATCGTTCAATTTACCCCCTCAACCCTAAAAAATGTCAAAAAGTTTTTAAGGGTTGAGGGGGTAAATTGAACATTTCAGTCGGGTTCAGGGGCTTATTTGACCCCCTAAGTTGCCATGTCACATGCACAGTTGGCACCCTACCGGGTGATGTGGCGGTGACCGACTTGTGACCTGCAAAAAGTGAAATTTGAATTTTTTTATCGAGTTCAGGGTGCCAATTGGAGCTTTTTTGGGTTGAGGGGGCAAATTGAGCAATCCGAAAGGGTACAGGGGCCTATTTGACCCTTTAGCCTAAAATATAAAATATGAAGTATGAGTGATGATTTTTTTATTTATATGAACATGCATGTCGTATGAATAGCTGAGTTCAAAGCTTGTTTATGCAACGCCCTCAAGTTGAACAATGAGCTCAGTTTTTGATTTGATGCATCATACAATTTTCTTAATGAAAGTTTATAACATTTACTTCTTATGGAGCTGTGCAATATTTTCTCGAAACAATTTAGTTAAACTGATCGCGAACATCCTCAATTAAGCTAAAAAGCATGAAATAGATCGATGCAAACATAGTTAATTTTTAATTTGTTGTACTTGAACAAATATTGACCATTAAAACCTAATCTGATTCAGAAACCAAAGCTATGCATGTTTGTGAAAATTAGAAGAAAGAAGAAAAAATATACATAAATCTTTGATGAGAACAAGAGACAATTGTAAAAGTAAAAGTTAATGTAATAGTGTTCATATTGTAGTCTCCATCCCACATGTATTATTGTTTATTGTTTGAGAGGTTTTCACTTTTACAGTTATTAGCGGTTTTTACTGTTACATGTATTAGATTATATTTTATTTTAATGGTATCATTACTTGCCTTAAAGTTTTATGTGTGTGATTAGCTAAATGCTGCTATGGTATTGGGTTAAGGCTTGAGAAGCCTTCTGCAATTCATCAAAGAGGTATTGCTCCCTTTTGCAATGCTTGATTACAGCATAATTGAATGCCGAACTTTGGTTCTGGCACCTACCCGTGAACTTTCTCAGCAAATTGAAAAAGTCACGTGAGCACTCGGTGATTATCTTAGTATGATTAGTACGATTTAGGAGTTTTTAACTGATAACTAAAACATCATGTAACAGATCGGAGTATATATAACACTTTGGTTGTTCTAGCAACAAACAATACAACACAAATTGTGGTTCGTTGTCTCTAGGTTGAACGCACGTGGTGTGTGACAACAAACTAAATTTATTTTATGTTTACAAAAGACCAAAACCAGATATATTTCGGTCTCTTTGCATTCAAAATCTCTTTTATCCATCCAAAATAATATAAATGCATTAGAGAGAAGAGAAAGAAACTAACCTCAAGCTAAGTTTTTTATCTTACAACTTGCAAGTGCAGCAACACATACTACATATGATCACAATTACATTTAAATTCGAGAAAACTCTCAAATAGGCCCTCGTACTTTGGTCAATTCCTCAATTAAGCCCTCGTAGTTCCGAATCACCCAATCAAGTCCGCGTACTCAACAAAAACACCCAATCTGCCTTTTTAGCCGGTTGACGCCCGGTTAGCCAGTTAATGGCTGACATGGACTCCAACGTGTCCCTCCCTTACCGGGCAGTTAATCTGACTTGGCTTTTCTCCACTTCAAAGCCTAAACATTTGTAAAAATCCCCAAAACCCCAAATTCCCAAATTCCCCACTTCAAAGCTGGCACCTTCTCCTTCTCCCTTCAGACTGAGGCCTTCGCAAGTATGTCGTCTTCATCATCATCTACGCTTCTAAAAGAACGAAGTCGTACCTTTGACTACGAGCCTGTTATTCATTGTTGGTGTGGATTGAAAGCTTCTCTATGCGTTTGGCGAGAGAGTGGGAGAAGTTTTTTTGGGTGTCAAAAATGGAAGGTAAGTCTATGATTTTGGCTGTGTGGGTTTGAATTAAAGTGTGTTGCGTCGTTCATTTATTGTATACGTTATATATTTTAATGATTTGGAAAATTTCCATTAACATGTTAATGTGTACAGGTTGGGAGTTGCGGTTTTTCTTATGGAAGGAAGATGTAGGCATACGACACATTGTGAGGGCTGAAGAAAAGAAGAATACGGCAGGGCTGAAGCGAAGAGGGAAAGTGCAGATGATTTGAAAAAAATGGTCGAAGGACTTGTCCTAAAGATTTCGCTAGTACAAGTGATGTTGGTTGGGTCAAAACTGTTGTTGACAATGAGGCGAAGGTCAACAAACAGAGTAGGAAGTTGTATGGGTTTACTATGATTGTACTTCTTGCTTTAGTAGGTAGTGTGTATTTGAGGATGTAAGCTTGGAACAATGCGTACTGTTTTAAAATTTCTTAGTAATGCAATGGATTTGAATGTCAGAAGTTGTATGGCACAATGCTCCTTTATTTAATTATTAAGAACTTGGTTGTTTGGGGAGCTCTCCTGTGCATCCGTGTTATAGCGCAAATTATACCATGGGATCAATATAACAGTTGCATGGTATACCGGTCCCAATACGGCGTCGTTTCAATAAATAAAAACAAGGTCGCATCCTCCTATTGATTCTTCTCTGTCACTGCAAGTCTGCAATCGTCGTTTTTACTTCATCACCCTTCGCTCGTTCCCACGCACACACTACTTCATCCCTCAATTGTCGCCCACCAGTCATTACAAAGAATTGAAATTGTGGTTCATTGACTCTAGGTTGAACACACGTGGTGTGTGACAACAAACTAAATTTATTTTATGTTTCCACAAGATCACAATTACATTTTAATTACTATAATATATTCCTTTACTTCTTTTAAAAGTTTTAGTGTTTTCTAAGACATTATATTTGTTTATTTCGATTTACATTTATCAATCACGAAATTACATCTTCTTATGAAAAATTTACATTTTTCATGTGTAGGAGTTACATCTTTTTATACACGAGTTATATCTTCTTATGCGCGAGTTACATCCTTTTCGTTTGCTTTTTCTTCTGCTTTATTTTCCTTTTCTTCAATTCTTTTCTCCTCCTCCATCAAAATTCTAAAAATTTAATTGTATTACTTTAATTTACTTTATCTTCAACCTAAATTATCACCCAATCTAATTTTGTATAAATTCATAATAAAAAATTTATTAATTTAAATGAAAAGTGT